CCCACCATTCATCTGTGTATGGTTGTAGGGGGCTGAAGCATCGTCTATGTATGGCTTCAGACCCCACCATCTCACGATTGTTTGTGTGTGGAGTGATGTCTGCGTGAGTTCAGTCTATGTGAGTCAGTCCATTTCTCAGACTTCCGCTGCATACATGCTCGTCCTATATTGGTTGATCTTTGGTTCTGTCCATACTTGGTGAAGTATTCACTAGTATGCAACAGTGTGTGTGTGTGTGTGTGTGTGTGTGTGTGTGTGTGTGTGTGTGTGTGTGTGTGTGTGTGTTGTCATGTTCGCGATACTGCATGAGAAAAGCACGACTGTTTCGTGGCACTTTCACCGACTTGTCAGAGAGAGAGAGCGAGCGAGCGAGAGAGAGAGAGAGAGAGAGAGAGAGAGAGAGAGAGAGAGGGAAAAAGAAAGGAATATTGCAGGTGAATTCAACTTCGGTGTGGAAAATGTAGAAGTGTTTGGAGAACCAAAAATTATTTTTCCTAAACAATTGAAAAGGATACGCAAAAATAAAGTAGAGTTGACAATAATCATGTGCAAGTTTTTTTTTTGTCGTTCTTTTCTCAGGACTAAGCTTTTGGGTTGCAGTAAATTAATTTTGTAACTCTCTCTCTCTCTCTCTCTCACACACACACACACACACACACACACACACACACACACACACACACACACACACGTCACACACACACACACCCACACACACACGTCATTGCGGTCAACACTCTCGTCATCACCGCCACTTGCACTTTCGTCCTCGTCGCCACTGCCATCACTTTTATCGCTGCTGCCATCACGTTCATCGCCGCTGCCGTCGCTTTCATCACCACTGCCACCACTTTCATTGACCCTGCTTCCTCCGCCTCTCACGTGTGATGTATCTGTCCATGGAAAGCAGCCAATCAGTCGATCCGTCGATGAATCAATGAATCAATGAATCAATGAATGAAATGCAAGGAATATGAGCGAGAGTGATAGACAGAAACCAAGTTGCAAAATCACGAAGAAGCTCAGGTAGTCATGAACCAAGCAGAGAGTGCAATGCACCAAGATACCATCCAAATGAGAGCAATACAATGGACTGAGGTGTCAATGCCGCCACTCTCTGGTCACACCAACACTGTATCCAATGTTGCACTTAATGTCTGGCGCTGGGCGCCCAGCCTATCCTACTCAGCCTATCTAGCCTGTCTACGTTCTTACACGTGATCACATCGAAGTTGAAGACCAATGTATGTGACGTCAACACTAATGCTGACCACCAGCATACACCAGGTACGTTCTCTCCCTCTCCTCATCACCCCTCATCTCCCACCTCATGCGCCTCCTTCCCAAAGACCACCATCACCATCACCCGCACACTCGGCCCGGCTATGGCCGCCGTGCGCCCACTACCACCGCAGTGCGCGCTCCACCGCTCAGCGCCCGCGCACGCCCCAGCCTGCCTTAATAGCGCAGCTTCGCAGGACAATGCAGCAGCATGGCCGCAATGCCTGCACAGGCCAGAATGGCCCAGCGCTGGGGCAGACACTTTCCTTTATGGAAAGTGTGCCTGTCTGGCTGGCCTGGCCAGGTGTCGGGGGGGGTGCCCAGTAGCTGCCTCTGGCCCCAAGTGTCTGCGCGCAGGCCCAGTTTTCGATACCGGCCTGGGCCCCGTACAGTTAGGCACATTTGGGCCAGCCTAAAGTTTTTGCAGCATTCTCATTGGCTCGTGGCACATGTGTGGCAACAATGCGGCTTCCTCATTCGCCCATAACCAGTCCGTGATGTGTCAGCCTCACACAGCGTGCGCCCAGGGCGCAACAGCCTGAGCCCTGGGCTCAACTGTACAGCACAGCTTTTTGCTTCTGGAAAGAGCCTGGAAGGCTCACGTTGCTCTATAACCGACTGGCGTGCTGCAACTGTCTGAATCCCCCACATATGAAAAAATGTTGAAAACAGGCCTGTCGTGGATATTCAGGCACGCCTTCACTTATGCGGGCACAGGCTTGCTAGGGCCGCAGCCCAGAACACTTGTATGTCTGAAAAGGGCCCGGCGAGGGCTCATTCCTCACACAAATCAATCAATCATATCAACCAGCCAATCAATCAATCAATCAATCAATTAATCAATCAATGAATCATCAAATCAAATCAAATCAAATCAAATCAAATCAAATCAAATCAAATCAAATCAAATAAATCAATCAAATCAATCAGTCAATCAATCAAATCAGTCCATCAATGAATCAAGATTTTTCAGATTTTTCTTGATTGGATGATAGACTGATTTGATTGATTTATTGATTGATTTGATTGATTGATTTGATTGATTTTATTCATTTGATTGATTGATTGATTGATTGATTGGCTGCTTTCCATCGAGAGATACATTACACGTGAGAAGCAACAAAGCATGTCCAGGATTCAAGCAGACGTGCGAAGTTGCGAATGCCAAACAAATAAAACGCCGGACTGAGTCCATAAACAGTATTAAAAAAGGCAACAAGGTTCAAACAACGAGAGAGAGAGAGAGAGAGAGAGAGAGAGAGAGAGAGAGAGAGAGAGAGGTCAGAAACCAGAAAAGCAGTCCACATTGGTATTTTAGTATTTTTTCAACTGATTTGATATGTACAGAAGACTCTACACATTATTAAACACTTCGTAGGAAAAAAAAAAAATGCAACAAGGTTCAAACAACGAGAGAGAGAGAGAGAGAGAGAGAGAGAGAGAGAGAGAGAGAGAGAGAGAGAGAGAGAGTATCAGTATCTCCCTCGTTTATGCCGAGAAAGTTGCAATGAAGAGAGAGAGAGAGAGACGGAGCACCCGTCATGAGAGCTTCAAGGTCCAAGAACGAGAGAGAGAGAGAGAGAGAGAGAGAGAGAGAGAGAGAGAGAGCACCTGTCACCTCTACTCTGTCTACATCGCGCTGGCCCCACGAAAGCTTGAAGAGTGAGAGAGAGAGAGAGAGAGAGAGAGAGAGAGAGAGAGAGAGAGAGCACCTGTCACCTCTTCTCTGTCTACATCGCGTCGGCCCCACGAAAGCTTGAAGTTCAAGAAAGCAAAGAGAGAGAGAGAGAGAGAGAGAGTGGGGATGTCTCTCTGTCTCCCTCTTTTTTTTGCTTTCTTGATCTTTTTGCTTTTTGGATCTTTCTGTTTTATTGAACTTGAAGCTTTCGTGGGGCAGAGAGTGAGAGACGTCGCGCTTCGTCTTCCAGCCACCATCGACCACCCCCGATCTACCAACGTGCACCTGTCACCTCTTCTCTGTCTACATCGCGTCGGCCCCACGAAAGCTTGAAGTTCAAGAAAGCAAAGAGAGAGAGAGAGAGAGAGAGAGAGAGAGAGAGAGAGAGAGAGAGAGAGAGAGAGAGAGAGAGAGAGTGGGGATGTCTCTCTCTCTCCCTCTTTTTTTTGCTTTCTTGATCTTTTTGCTTTTTGGATCTTTCTGTTTTATTGAACTTGAAGCTTTCGTGGGGCAGAGAGTGAGAGAGACGTCGCGCTTCGTCTTCCAGCCACCATCGACCACCCCCGATCTACCAACGTGTCAAGGTCCAAGAAACCCAGAGAGAGAGAGAGAGAGAGAGAGAGAGAGAGAGAGAGAGAGAGAGAGAGACTGACCTGCTGGGTGCACGCTCCTTGGTTGATAGGCGGCCGGTGGCTCTTGCTCCTTGCAAGATTACGCGCTCACTCATCTGCTCCATTACGATGGCTGCCTTCCTTCACGGAGCTCGAAGTCGGCGGAGATGGACGGGAAGATGACGATGGCAGTAGCGGGAGCGGGCTTTGAAACGGGCAGGGGCAGCAGGCGGGACTTCTCAAACGGCCGATTCGAAGTTGCACCCTTCCCGTCCGCTACCCTACCGCAAACAGCTGTGGGCCTGTTGGCCGTGTCCGGTAGGGCTAAGAAAAGCCGAAAAATCACCCCGGTATCTTTGGGAGGGGCGCCCAGGACCTCAAAAACGTCCTGGGCTGCCCTGTTTTTTTTTTCAAATTTTGTGTTGGGGGGCGGTTTCTGGACGTCCTGGACCGGACACCGGACCCGTACATTTTCTTCCAGACTGACTGGACCATTTTCTTCCAGACTGTCTGGAAGCTGGTCCGGCCGTCCGGTCGGTTACCATGGAATTATGTGATACATTCTTTTTCGGATGCATAATTATGTATAGATATGCATTTGCCTGTCATTTAATGAGAAAACTGATTCACTGTCCTTTGTGTTAGAGTGATGCGATCAGGCACTGACCTAATATGTAATGCTGCCAAAGCCGCACTGGCCCTTCTTGTTAATAATAATAAATAATGACAATAATGAATGAGAGCCGGTTAACGGAGGCCTCGATCTTCACACCACTTGTCAGGCCATTTATAACAAAACCCAAGGGTCATTTTAACCAAACTTGCCACCAATTCATAGAGTGGAGATCATACTAACTACTTAAAAAAAAATAAATTGAAAAAAAAACTTTACAAACCTAAAAAACAGCAAGGCAAAAATGTGACCTTGACCAAAAATAAAACAGGGCAAAAATAAAAATAAAAATTATTATTATTAACAAGAAGGGCCAGTGCGGCTTTGGCAGCATTACATATTAGGTCAGTGCCTGATCGCATCACTCTAACACAAAGGGCAGTGAATCAGTTTTCTCAGCTTCATGTGCCCTTTTCCAAAACTGGTGGGCCAGTGTCCTTCAGGCCTGATGTTAGGGCCTACTGGCCCTTGCCCCAACTTGGTGACGCTGGCTCCAATCCACATGTAATGCCGTCGGACATCACACATCTTGCCACATGATTAGTTACAATCTAACTTGCATGATTCTGGAAATATTTCTAGCAACATCACAAACTGCATATCTTTCCAAAGGCTCGGACACGTCTGCCAAGACAGGTTATCTAGTGGGGGAGTGCTTCACACAACAGTCTAGTGGCAATCAAAGTGACAGCGTAGTAGTGGGCACAAGGTACTTGGTCATTGGTTGATGACGGCCTTTTGTAAATGATTGTGGCAGGTTCCGAGATCTCTGCCCCCTTGAGGTTTCACTTTCGAACGACAGAGCAACAGGAGATCAGCTTCCCTGGAGGGGACATGTCAATTGTGCTGCAGTTCGGAGAAATTTCTCCCGTCTTGTGATGCGTCTTCTTGAGGAGATTCTGTTGGTAAGCAATTCCCTCACGCTCTAAACACCACTAATGTAAAAAATACTGAAGCCGGGCTGCTGTGCCCTACCGGACCAACAGCCTGGATCATCACACTGATGTAATACATCTTGAATCTGGCCCATTGTGCTCTACCGGTTAATCTACCCGGATCATCTCGCGGTCATGAATCTTAAGGAGTCTGGTGGATCTGGGTCGTTGGGATGTGTCGTTGGCCGGGTAGGACAGGACGAATGGTCCAGATTAGAGGCGAGTATACTCTACCGCCTCTGTCTCCCAATCCGCCCTTTATCTCCGACTGGACGCTGCCCTGCAAAAGCCGCTGTAAAATGCCACTCTAACAGTGCCGCCATGCCTTTATCTCATGCCGCCTCACCTTCGTGTAAGTGGCTGCTGGACTGCCACTGCGCCATGACCTGGTACTGTGCTCTCCCTGCTGCCACAGCACTGCCCCGTGCTCTGCAAGCATGTGTGTGTGTGTGTGTGTGTGTGTGTGTGTGTGTGTGTGTGTGTGTGTGTGTGAGAGAGAGAGAGAGAGAGAGAGAATAGAGATTCTTCAACTGTTCTTTTTCTTTGTTACTTCGATTCTTCCTCTGCTGCTTCTATTCCTGTTGTTCTACTTGGATTCTTCTTCTCCTGCTCGTGTTGTTCTGCTTGGATTGTTCTTTTTGTTCTGCTTGGATTCTTCTTCTTCTGCTCCTCCACTGCACCTCCACGACCTCCTCCCTCCGCTTGACGTCCACTTGACGCCCCACCTTCCTTCCTGTTGTTCCGCTTGGATTCTTCTTCTGCTCCTCCACTGGACCTCCATGACCTCCTCTGTCCCTCTGCTTGAGGTCCACTTGACCTCCCCCCTCTCCTCCCTCCTTCCTTCCTCCATCCAGCCTCCACTCCGCCGCCTCTGTCCCGTCGCCCTCCATCCTTACTCCCTCCATTGGACATCCACCCGACCTCCCTCCATCCTTATCGCCACACCTACATGACTTCCTCTGTTCCTTCCTGCTCCTGACCTCCTTTCCCCTGCCTCCCTCCCTCTGCTCGACTCCGCCTGACCGTTGACTGACTTCCTCCCTCCCTCCTCCCTTCCTCCACCCGAATTCTGCCCATCCTCCGCCCAGCTCCATTCCTCTGTCTACCCTGCTTCTGCCCGACATCGTCCCTCCTCTGCTCAGCCTCTGTCTGCTCCGTCCCTCCCTCTGCCTGATCCCCTCCCTCCCTCCTTCCTCCCTCCTCCCCCCCTCTGCCTGACCTCCTCCGTCCCTCCACCTGACCCCCTCCCTCCCCCCTTCCTCCCTTCACCTGACCCTCTTTGTCTCCCCTTCCTCCCTCCACCTGACCTTTTCCCCTTCTTCCTCCCTTCTTACTTCCTCCCTCCTCCACTCAACTTGCCCATGACCTTCTCCCCGCCCTCCTTCCGCCTGACCTCTGCCCAACCTGCTCCCGCCCTGCACCCTCCCTCCTCTCTCTCTCCTTCCCACCTTCCTCCCACCGCCCGAACTCCACCTGCCCCTCCTTTCTCTCCCTGTGTCCCTCCTCCGACCTCCGCCTGACTTCTGTCCTTTCTTCCTCCGTCCTCGCTGTGCCCTACCTCCTCCATCCCTCCTTAAGGCTCGACCTATGAAGTGCATTTCGTTTTTTTTACACCAGGTCAGGGTTGCATCCCTGCCGACTGCCGACCCCGACCGCCGACTTTATTGCAGCCGACCAGTTGGGCCGACCGTCGGTGGTCTGCCGACCAGTAAAAAAAGTCCACTGATTTTTTTTCAAATCTGAGTTGGGGGCTGTACTGCGCTTGCTGAGTACAGCCCAAATCCGCTGAGAAACTCTTGGGGA